TTCTTTCTTGTCTTCTCAGACCCACAGCAATGTAACTCTGTGGAGAGATCGCATTTGTTGTCCCTTAGGGGAAAACGCTATGAAACATCATCACACACACACACACACACACACACACATCTATGAACATCATTCACTCCTTCATTCACAAGGACAGAAAAACTTAACTTCACCAGTGAGATTGTTACCAACAAGCATGCCGCCTGAGAGCATACAACTTTCGACTCTATCAACTTCCAAGTGAGAAATTAGAGATCAACCAACTTTCATTTCTGAAATCCTTTCTCAGCACACACTCACTCAATTCATCTCGACCAATGTCAATCCTCTACACTACAGTGAACGAATTTGAGCGGCAATATATCTCAAATTATTTATGCTGATTTTAACTCGGAAGTGTTAAACTAAAAATTACATTTTTATAAATACTACTTCTTGATCGTCAAGCGAAGAATTCAATTTTTCTCTCACTCAACAAGTTTCTCTGAACTCATCTTACTCCGAACTTACAATACTTTCTTATTGAAGATCATGTTTTTCATCGAGATTAATTATTGTTTCATGAACTGAAACCATTTCCTTGAGTTCAGTTAAAAACGCTTTACCTTGCCTACTTCGACCAGTTCAGACTAACAGTTAAAGGTAAGTAACTCCTGCTACATTTAAATTAAAAGTTGCAATTCTCAACTATAGAAATTGTTACAAACTTTATTTACTTTATTCATTTTAAACAGATTTATAACTTCTATATAATTTCACACACTTTAAACATTCTACACAGGAACATATTTCACCTGTTAAAAGAACATTTTCCAAGTGACTTAAATAACAAATACATACACGTCAACCAAATCTCTAAATTCACTAAATTATTGTTTGTATAATTGTTGTTATGCATATATAAATTCCACAGGTAAATATTGGTTTTGTTATCCGTGCGCTAATATCCCTTAAAAGTTTTCCAAAATCGTCATAATTCCGTGCAAATGTACATGCTGAACTCGAATTAACAATTAAATTATGAAGAAACCTTACCGTTTTGGAGTTATCGACAAGAAAAATTCGGACTTCTTGTTGGTCATTCGTCCCCCATTACTGCCATCATGTTTACTAATTTACTAGTACCTACGAAGGTGTAATCAGAAAATTTGGCCTATTTACTTCTTTTACAGACTTTCCTTGCAGAAAATCACTACGCACGGGTAACAAAACCAATATTTACCATTCCCCTTACCTATGTAACTTTTCTTCTTGAATGTTATTCTTCTTCTTTGCTTATTCCTTGTTAGCACATTTGTAAAGCAAAAATAGTACAGGTTGAATCGAGGACATTTAACCCGCTACAGATTTCTGTAAAAACACTTTCTTAAGGGTTTCTCACACAAACAAATTGAAATTACAAAAATAAAATATATTGCTGGTAATATATTTTTTTTAAATGTATTGCTGGTACTTTTAACTTTTACTATAAAAATCTATTTTAATACTTTCTTAACTATTTGACCATAGCTGGGAACAGGGTGGACCTGGGGACAACAACAAAGTAAGAAGTAATTCAACGCTCGACAAAAACTCTCGATAAGAGGCCTTGCTGCTGGATGTAATTTATCATCATACCCAGGACGCGGGAAGATTTTTTTTTGTGGGGGAGGGGGGACACATGTCATGAAGCCCAAAGCCATCGTAAGGCGATAACTCTGGGACCAGTCGTGGTATCAATCCCAAAACTATGATCGATTTTTTAAAAATTCTTTTCAGAATTTTACAGTGACACAGAAAAAAAAATTGTTCAGTGTCTGAGTTGAAGTTAATGACAATAAGACGTTATCAATTTGACAATTTGCTGAGTTAGGGTGCACTAGTGCTACGAAAGCGTCTAGTACGGTAGAGCACAAAACTTTTAATCTCGTTGGCCTAATTTTTTAAATATATATGTAAATAGTGCAACGGATATTATCGCGGAAAGTGTAATAATCAGCAATCCGAATTCCAATATTCACACAACTGACCTTAGGAAAATCAGGAATCTGTCTGTACTCTCCCTATCTATGGGTTAAATAGCAGACTAGAATGTACTCTCTAACCTTGCATAGCAACTAGTCAGAGAAAGGAATCTCTTATTTTGAAACTGTGGGGAAAACATTGGGCAACAACTACACGACCTTTCCCAAGTTATGGCATTTCACAGGTCTTTAAAAAATAAAATGAACTTTATAAATAATGAAATTTTTTTATAGTTGTTTTTCAAACTAAACTAATAAGTAATATTACTAAAGTAATAATGTGATGGTAGTATTTTAGATCATACTGTATTCCCTACTACTCCAAATGTTATTTTGTGAAATTTTTTGACAAGACGCCCTGTTCATTTTTTTAAATGCTAAGCCCTGGCTCATTGACTTTGTTAGAAATTAAAAAGACTCAAATTTACAAACTTTGCTCAACACACACGCAAAAGCGAATCCAAAACAAAACTCGTGAAATTTCACACCTTGATGCGAAATATTTTCGGCCAATAGAAAACTAGGAAACATTTAAAAACAAAATTCAAATAATCTTCAATTCTCAAAAACAAATTCTATTACGGACCTTTTCGCGAGCCGACGCGAAGTTTGTTCGTCGTCCAATGGAAAGGCCCGAATCATATCCGGGAGTAAATTCCCAAATGACCTTTTCAAGCCCCACAAACAAAATAAAAGACGGGCAAGTTCGCCTGTCAGCAGAGAGAAGGAGACGAGCGTGTTAACACGTTCCTTGACAAACGTCAAGCGATCGTTATTATCATCCCTACCTTTCTCCCTCATCTCTTTTATACTTGATAAACGAACAGAACATTTTAAGATTGAGCGATTACTTCAAAGACATTCCTACCCTACGATAACGCTCATACATATATACATCCACACATACGTTCCTGCCTAAGTACAGATAAATTTATTCTTGCAAGGACTACTACAAACATTTTGACGACCTTGTGTCAACCAAAATACATTAATTTTATTTGTAGAGACCTAAATTGATTTATATGTATATAAATTTGTTGTTTCACTTTACAATTTGATTTTCTTGTTTTATACCCCTCTTATGGTAGGCTATCTAACTAACAAGACCAAATCAAACTAATATGCTTCAACACCCATACATTTCACTATAACTGATAACCCACTATACATCTACCAAACTGCGCATTCGAGAGACTTAATAAAGAGAATGACATAAATGAACACACATATGCGTTATTTTCTTGTGGTTAAAAATTGATAAACCCCTCAGCTTTTAGGACAAGTTCAGAATAAACTTACTGATAATATAAAAAAAGTGACTACTGGTTGATGTTTATTTTTATCAGCCACCAGAAAAGGAAGTTTCAAAAAGAAAGAAATAACATTCAGTCACCCTAATTTTATCTTTTTTTTTTTTTTTTTTTTTTTTGTATGATGAACTTTATTTGTGTTAACGAACCAAGGCCGGAATAATTGTTGCTACTTTTTCTCTTAGCCGTTTCTCGTATCAAAGTTGCAATCACATTTCAGTTTAGTTAGGGATGCCATAGAAAACAATGCTTGAAAATTTTATAAAATTGTTAAAGAGTTTAAATTTTTATTCTGAATCATTTTTTTTTTATATTTGTTGTCTAACGATTCAGTAATCTGTTGAGTGTTGAGTCATTCTTCAACAGAAAATTATGATGAAAAAAAGATTGTCATTGAATTCACTCCCTTGCAGATTAGAAGGAAAACTAAAAGGGAATGATTAGTATTCATTCAGTAAATCTCTTGAAAAATCTTTTTCTTTATTTGAACGTGAATGCAAACACAACAATATTACATTTATTACAATCATTCAACTGCAAATCGATAGAATTTTTGGTGCGAAGTTAGCGAATTTTAGAGATACCTTCCAAAATATACCTTTTTCGGTAGATATACAAAATCAAACTTTTGTTTGATACTGTTGTGTAAAATAACATTTTTTTTTAATTATTCAAAGTTGAAACTACGAATAAATGGTAAAAAAAAAAAAACTAAAGATACAAATTAAACTTTAAAATATGAAGTTTAATTTGTATTGTGCGGGAACTTTGTTTCAATCCCAATAGTTTTGGAATGGAAACAAAGTTCATGCACAATTTTATATTTTTATTAAAAATTGTACGGAAGTTTTTGTTTCCAACCCGATAGTAAACTTCAAAGAAGCACCTTTAAAATTTCAAAACCCATGGCGTCAACATTATTCCAAGTTTCAATGAGTTCAGTATATGTTTTAAAAACAAAATGCGGTGTAATTTCCAAAGGATATTTGGTTGTGGGTAGATTTCATTGTACTTACCTGAGAACAGTAATACTAACAAGTTTTAAGACTTAGATCAATTAAAATTTTTTGATGGCTCAGTTGGGTTAACCGATTTAAACATTAAAAAAATAAAATTTTAGTCTTTATATCACTTTTAAAAAAGAAAGCTTACTAGAAAAATGTCCAGTTTTAAATTGTACAAAATAAATTATTAAAAAGAAAATCTAAAAATAAAGCTCTTTTTAGTTTTACTTAAGAATTATTTTTTTCGTTAAAGTGGTAGGATTTACTTACTTCCCTACGAGGGGACAAATATGAAACTCAGTTGAGGAATTTGACAGCCTTTTATGTGCATAAAACAGTTTTTTAGTAGTGTTTGGCCAGTTCCGTCAATGCGACCGACGTACAACTCTTTACTTTTATTTAATTTTTAGTGTAATAAGGAAGCACTCCCAGAAATTAGAATCTCCAGAGACTAGGCACACAGCTGCGTGTATTTTGTCCTGACTTGCCCGGTCACAAGACAAAGCTGATAACGGCCCCAAAATAACGGGAATAGGGAAAGAGAAGATAAAAAGATATTTCAATTACATGACAATTATTTATCGCACTAGGAATGAATTATCTCCCTTGTGTTTTTGACACTCTTCGTTTTTCGGAGGTAAGATTCTATTCAGTTTTACACCGGCGCCGAAAGTGTGAAATTCATGAACATTACAAACCTGGTTAGTTTTTCTCTTTTTTTTAATTGCCTTTTTAAAAATTATTTAATTACAACTGCAGCGACTAGGTCCTTTTAACTGTAGTTTGAATTTATGATAATTCGTTATATTTTATTCGGCCATTTTAGTTGTTTACAAAAAAATAAGACTTTGTCTCTGTTTATTTTTGCAGCTTTGTATCGTGGGACCAGAAAATTTCACTTCATTAATCAATTTATCAAATTATTCCAGCAAAAGTCATGGATAATCGAAGATCAACTGTTAACGAGAAAGGTATTATTTTCTTTTCTTTGTTACTGATTTTCAGAAATATTCACTCCTTCGTAATTATGACTATCTTTGAAAATGCCATCCATGATCGATAGATACGTAAACAAAAACATCAACAATTTTGAAAATAGCCTTTGTATGTAAAAAGATATTTTAAAAATGAAATTAACGTTTTGAACAGTGTTAAGATAATATTTGAGTAACTTTACAAATATACCCACTTTCTCTCTAAATAATTATGTATCTTCTAAATTAAAATAATTCTCGGTCGCTTTTTGAAAAGTTTGCACTTAAAGACCTGCCCTCTTTTAAATTTAATGAATCGATTTATTGTTGTTTGAATTGTTATTATAAAAAAAGCATAAAAATCAAAATTAATCTTACAATTACCAATTTAAAGGTTTCTTCAAAAAACAATATTCCCTAAGAACTATTTCATTATCAGCTCCTTTTTTTCCTTAATAATTCAACTTTTAAGACTTAATTTTAATGAATTAAATTTCTGGAGAAAAAATAGTTAATAATAACAATAAAACTCACACATTGAGTATTGTTAGTTTATTAATCGCTACAAACGATTTCAGCATAAAAAACACTGAATTACTTCCCTTAAATTTTTTTAGCTCGCCTCATATTCTGAACACTATTTTGGATTTTAATAGTTATAAATTATTAGAAATAGCATGAAATAAAATAAGAAATAATGTCCAAAATGCAATATAATTAATTTCAAAAATTTTTCTGTGAGTAAAAAAGAAAAATGAAAGTAAGAAGAATTCACCAATGGTCCAATATTCTTTAATTTTTTTGAAGAATTCACGTCACACATTCATTACAAAGAAAAAAAGGATTTTATTTTGATTTCTGGGGACACACACACATTCCTTCATAGGATGAGAATAATTCTTGGCTTGTACCACTTTGGTTTCCTCTTTTTGTAACATTTCCACAGTTTCGACACTTTGGTTGTAAATATCTGTATCATGTGGGTCCAAAAATGTTTCTTCGTGATTAGTAAAAGTGGGCTCTGTATATGAGGCTAGTTTAGAAATTGTGCAAATAAATAAACGAAGTAATTCAATTGTTTAGAACAGGAAACTTAACTATACTTGTTGAAAGTTTTTTATTGGATTAAAAAAAAAGAAGCAGAATTTACTTAATTTTCTTTTAATGTATTGTAAAATGACCTGTAAAATGTTTATCATTTATGGTTTTGTACATCACATAATTAAAGATTAATAAATGAAAACAAATTTTTTAAAAGTATTTAATAATTTTTTCAACATTATTCAAAAGTTATAATTGAGAAAAATATACCACAACAACGCATTCGATTTTTTGTGACCTTTTAAGAAATTCAATCATTCATTCTATTTTAAATCATTTTTTAAATTATTTACTGAGAAAATGAAAATTTTATTTAAATTATTTTTTTATAACAAAAACAAAAACAATTATGCATCGTATCGTATGAATACGTTTTTTTTTTTTTTTTTTTTCTGTCTTGGATGCTTTTATTGTTTAACTGATATATCTTTACAAACATAAAATATCAGTGAATGTTTATTAAAAGTTTCCATACGTTTCCAAATCGAAGTTATTGTGTGTAAGAATTATTATCCAAAGAAATACTATTCGATGCAAAATCCTTCAAAAGGGGAAGATACTCTTGTCACGACGACATGTTAACCATAGAACGTTATTATGTTTTAACAGCAAACAGATTGCTTACTTGTGTTGAGGCCAGATTTTGCTTATCAGCATTTATTGGGTTTGGAATGTTAAGTCTAAATTTTCCTTTATTTGTATGTTTTTTTGTTTTTACAGAATTCTCATCAATGTTTTAAAAATGTTGCCATAATTCTTTCAAAGTCTGTCATTTCCCGTTTCATTTCCAAGTGGATCTACCTACAAAGCTCAAATCATTTGATATGCTCAATTCAAATTCTAATAAAATCCATAATTTCCTATATTCTTCATTGTTTGAGCCTTTAGTTTCTGTTGTTGTCTATGGACAACTTTTTTAAACAGCACTTATCCAAAATTGGAAAAAAAAAACAAAGTAAAATTAGAAATAATAGCAAAACATATACAAATCTTTTTTCTTTCCTATTATTAACTTAAAAGTGTATACCTAAATTTCAGGTATACATTGTTTTCTAAAAAAAAAATGATTCTTTCATTTTTAATTAAGAATTGAGTTTCAGGTGAGGTTATTTCAATGTATTTGCACTCAGTCACTGATTCTTTCTCTTACCAAAATGACAATCATTAATTTGGAATCAAAATGAATTCTGAAGGAATAACTGTCTTCACCTCTCGTGAAGGAAAAGGAGACAAGAAAAATTGGTTTAAAAAAATTTATTTCAATGAAAATTATCAAGATTAGCTTTGTATTTTTTCTAAAATTAACATTCTCAAGATTAACTCATCTTCTGCCCCTGGTGTAAGTAATCAGTTTTACAAATGAATCTTTACAGGTTGTTGAGATGGACCTTTGTGTTTTAATCATCATTATACTTATTATAAAACCCAGGTTGAGTGTGTGTGTGTCTGTTTCGTTTATATATTGGATCAGATTTCCTATGTTTTTCAACGGATTTCAACAAAACTTCCCAGGACTACGTAAAATTACCTTGCAGTGGTTCTGACAGCGCCAAAAATTGGAAAAACACAATTGTTTTTGCACGAAATCAATTTGAAAACACGATTAAGAGGCATCGCTGTTGAGAATGAAAGGGGGACAACTCATATCGAGTTATACTTATTATAAAACCCAGGTTGTTTGTGAGTGTGTGTCTGTGTTCATTTATATATGGGATCAGATTTCCTACATTTTTCAACTGATTTCAACAAAACTTCACTTTTTTTTGGCAGGTAGTGTTTCTTATTGTCTTGCACACTTTTTTCTTTATTTTTACATTCAGAATGCTTTAAAAATTCCATTTACAAGACAATTGTTTATAATAAAATTCTATTCAATCAGTAGACTCATAATGATTGAAAACAATACTTTTGTTTGAGTTTGGGTTTGACCAATTCGTAAAGTAAAAAAAAAAAACTAATTAAGACATGCGTGTCCATCAACCTTAAACAATAATCTTTGTCAATTTTAATTTTCAGCCTTTATGATGATCGATACTTGATCTATCTCGTACTATTATATCCCCGAGCAATGCCGGGTTCTACTGCTAGTATATAATAAATACTGTGGGCACCTTGAGATGGTGTAATGGTTAGCAAGCTGGTCTCACTAGAACAATTATGACTAGTGAGTTCAATGCTCACTGGGTGTCCCTTATTTTGGGGCTTGTGCCACATGTAAGCTAAGCTTAGAAAACCCCCGTATATAATAAATGCTGCTGCTGTTTTTATTTATTTTTGGTGCAGTAGTGTGCAGAAGCGGGGGCAGAGGGTGTGACAGCCCTGGGCATCCATATTGGGAGAGCATCCAATCAAAGATTGAAATTAAAATTTAGTTTATTTGAATAAAGTGTTTATTTCATGTTTCATCTGTTTTTACATATTTAAAATGTATTCCTTTCTCACATTTCTTAGTACTAGGTCCTATGGGCACTCCCTACTTGAGTCTTGGGGTATACAATTAAGGAGTTGGCCCTGGGAATCACCAAACCTCTGCATGTCACTGCTTTGGGATTAGGTATAATTTTTGAGCTGAAGTATCATTATTATTATTAAGCCTAGGTGTTTCAGCTGGTACCTCATGATACCATTAAGATTCTTTGCTTTTCTAGGTTGAATACTTCATTAAAAAAAAGAAAAAGAAAACCATAGTCTATCAATATATAATTTTTCTCTTATAGATGGACAGGCTGTGACCAGAGATAAAGAAACAACTGGAAAGAAAGGTAAGATTATTTTCTTTATGTAATTTGATGAAAAATGTGTGATTTTTTCTTAACTTTTGTCTTTGGATTTTGAAAATTTGTTGATATATTGTGTAAATTGTAGTTTGTTTCAAAAATCTCAAACTGTGTTTAAAATTAACAATATAGCAACTGAAGAAGTTACTTATATATTTTATGTAATTCTAAAATTTCACTTAAATCTTATGAATGATTAAAAATATATACACAGGGTGACCCCAAAAAACGGGAACTTTTTAACAATTCAATAAAACCAAGAGTGATGGAAGAAAAATATTTTATTCATAGTAATTGAAACCTTAAAACATGCCATTTAAGAAACAATGATGGAATTTTCATTTTTTAAAAATTACGTCCTGTAGATGGCGTCCTTCTGTACGAATGCATCATTGACTGCTGCTAATGCACGCTGTTGTCCATTCCACTGATCCATGGTTACTAAAATGGCGAAATATTTACTTGCTCAAGGTCACTGTCTTGCAGTGTTGCCACTTGCTCATGTCTGGCAATATGCACTTTAAAAATTCCCATTTTTTGGGGTCACCCTATATATATATATATATATAATTTCATTGAATACAGAAGACAAGGTGCTTTTATTTATTTTTTTTTTATGCAATTTCTCATGCGATCTAATAATTTTTTCTTTTTGAATGATAACTTATATAAACACTGTCCAAATGTTCTTTTTTACGAGCGCTTTCGGATATATATTTAACTTTGAACATGGACACAATATCTTGACCGTGTTTTGTAAAATGAAAACATTTTACAACACATACATACAACAAACTATCTCTTATTTAACAGTTAAAATATTTAATCCTTTTAAATGGCTAAATGTATAGCTGAAAGCACTCGGATAAAAAGAAACAGTAAGAGAAATAATAAAATCCTTTAAAACCCTAGAATTAACAATAGGTATAAACTCCAGGCAAAAAATGGTAAATTTTTTAGATATAACATTCAACCTAAACAATGGAACCTTCAACCCATACAGAAAACCAAACAACTCAAGATACATTAACATCCTTCACCAATGTATTCAAACGTATACCCATATCTATAGATAAAAGAATTTCAACAAATTCCAGTAGCTTAAATATATTCAATGAAAACAAAAAAAAAAAACATGAATCATCCCTAAGAAACAGCGGATATTCAAACAAATTAGAATACAAAAATGGAAACAATTCAAACAAAAACAATAGAATAGGATCATAATTTGGTTCCCTCCCTGGCTACAACAATACAATAGGGAGAATATTCAAAGTAATTGAAAAACACTTCCCTAAAAACAGAAAATTAACAATAAAAATACAATCAAAATTAGTTACAACTGCATGGATACCATGGAGAAAATAATAATTAAGCACAATAAAAAAAAAAAAAAAAAAAGTCAATAAAACCAATAACAATGACATCCAGCAAAATGACCCCATCAAATGTAACTGCAGAAACAGAGAAAATTGCCCACTTAACAATAAATGTTTAACCAATAACATAATATACAAAGCTATCATAGCTAATAATATTAACACAGAAAAATTTACATAGGTGCCACAGAATAAAATTTTTAAAGTAAGTTATTATAACCACAAAATGTCTTCGGAAGAAAAAAATACAAATAATGCAACCTTATCAAAATACATATGGGGGAGAAAAAAGAAAACAATATCCCCACCAAAATCAAATGGGAAATTTATAAAAAGAGCAGCCCCATAGAGTATTGACAGCAAAATTGTAAATTATACTTAGTGAAAAAATTAACAATAATCTTACTTATTATAAAACCCAGGTTGTGTGTGTGTGTGTGTGTCTGTACGTTTATATATCGGATCGGGTTTCCTACATTTTTCAACTGATTTCAACAAAACTTCACAGGACTGTGTAAAATTACCTTGCGGTTGTTCTGACAGCGCCAAAAATTGAAAAAAACAATTCTTTTTGCACAAAATCAATTTGAAAACACAATTCTGTCGCCAGAATGAAAGGGGGACAACTCATATCGAGTTATACTTATTATAAAACCCAGGTTGTTTGTGAGTGTGTGTCTGTGTTCATTTATATATGGGATCAGATTTCCTACATTTTTCAACTGATTTCAACAAAACTTCACTTTTTTTTGGCAGGTAGTGTTTCTTATTGTCTTGCACACTTTTTTCTTTATTTTTACATTCAGAATGCTTTAAAAATTCCATTTACAAGACAATTGTTTATAATAAAATTCTATTCAATCGGTAGACTCATAACAATTGAAAACAATGTTTTTGTTTGAGTTTGGGTTTGACCAATTCGTAAAAAAAAACAAAAAGAAAAAAACTAATTAAGACATGCGTGTCCATCAACCTTAAACAATAATCTTTGTCAATTTTATTTTTCAGTCTTCATGATGGTCGATACTTGATCTATCTCTTACTGTTACATCCCCGGGCAACGCCGCGCACTACTGCTAGTTAGTTTAAAAAATCAAAATAAACTC